CAAGAGAAATCTCATCTCCTAGCACCCTCTCCCCTGCCACCAAAGACACAACAGTGCTTGTTCCTTTCCATTCTGTTTACCCCACCCAACAACCCACCCCAGGCTGTTCTCTCCTCCCCTAGCAGTTCTACTGTGGCAAGTGGTATCAGTTAATTTTGGAGGTGAAGAAAAATGCATCCCAAAGCTCTAGAGTGCTGTGGCGTGTGGCTGGTGAAGTTTGCAGAAGCGGCAAAGCCCTCCATTCTGCTCTGTTAAGAGACGATGTCACTCTCTAGACATCAGATGCTGTGAATCTCGCATGAGCCCAAGGTCCTTTCTGTGTCCCATCCCGCCAGCAGCTTACTGTGTGACCTCTGGCAGAGCACATCATCTCTTGAGAGTTCAATGTCTTCAACCATAAACTGGGGGATTTGGATTAAGTCAGACTCCTTCCAGCCCAATGGACGGCTGAGCCTGGCACTTTACTTCTTTCCCTGATCCTCGACAAAATGATTGACTTTTGTTGGCCTCAGGAAAATAACTTAATTTTATATCTAAATCCACAAGCATCAGGGAAATGCCCACCTCTCTCCCCTCCTCTGGTTATCTCTTCTCTAACACAGGCTCTTTATTAGTCTTATTAACTTGGTGGGGCACAACACTACAAAATGTCTAATATTCAATCCCCAAATAGACCATCAGCTCCTCAAAGGCAATAGGGGAGTCATCCTTCTTTTGTATCCCCCTAGCACGGAACATAGTGAAGGGTTGTGTTTCCCAAACTCATCCCAATGGAAACACAAATGCCAGGGCCCTGCCCCAGACTGACTGACTCAGAATCTCAAGGAGCAGAAAACTGTATTTTTCAAAAGCTGCCCCCCGTGATTCTAATGGGAAACCACTGATCAAGCAGAGCGCACAGTAGGTACTCGATTTGTTTAATCCAAAGTGAATTCTAGCTGCCTGATAAACCCACCCAGAAAACTAAAGAGAAATGGAAGCACTCCGTGTGCTAAAGGCACAAAACTATCTGGCAGTCCAGACCTTGGGAACAAAGCCTCATCTCCCTGTCTTCCTCGTTGCCGGGTTAGTTTTTTCTAGAGTGACTATATTCACCCTTTATTTATGGAGTGACAGGTACACTAAATTGAGAACATGATAATGCCAAATTCCTCCACCAGAGAAGGGGGCTCAGCTATTAAGGGTATAAGACTGGCCTAGGGATAGGAAGATACAGCAATTTGTGCCCTTGGTTATTCAAGTTTTTTCTCATGTATATTTTCTAGATTCATTTCAGGTCCAGAACGCAGGGATGTGACAGGGGAGGGGAAGCTTAAAAGGTAGACGGGGGAAGAAGAAAGGACAGAGAGAATCCTTACGTGCTTTGTCTAATGCCTCGCTTTCCCTGAGCCATCCTTGGCACTTTGCCCTTGGCCTGTTAATATTGATAATAGTTCTCTTGATCCAGACAAGCCTTGCGGTTCATAACACAGGCAAGAGATGCGATATCACAGCCCCTTTGGCTCTTTTCTCTCTCCACGACAGGCATGTGATTACTGCACAAAAGAAAGGGAAACGCAGCCGTCAGCTGCAGAGGCAGGGAGGAGGCCGGGAGGAAAGGGTGAGCCTTTGGTTGTGATTAAGACGTTTTAAATCAGGAGAGTGAGATATAAATGTCAGAGCAGCTCGCCTCTTGCTGGCCTGAAAATCTGCAGCAGCAGACAAGAAATGGTTTGTGGGTGGAGGGAGGTCAGTGGGCCATAGCTGAATGGCCCAGCCTGGCTGGGTGGCCCTGGGCCATCATGACATGACCCTTCACCAAGGGAGGGGAGAAATACTGAACTTGGGCATAGAGGAGAGGGCCAACCGTGTTGACAGCCTCACTGAAGTCAATAGTTCTCCGACTTCAGGGTGCATGAGAATCACCAGGGGATATTGTCAAGAATTCAGATTCCTGAGTCCCACCACAGAGGTCTCTGCCCCATGACCAGTCTTGACCCAAAGCTCTGGAGTTCTCATGGGCGGGGAGAAGCTACATTTGCCCTTCTACCCCGCTTATATCATTAGAAAATGGCACAGGGTCCACTTTTTGGCCTCCACCAGGCTTGCTGGCCATGGCTGGCTTGGCCCTTACCTACAAGTGGTATGGTGCTTCTCCAGCAGGGCCGAGTCCCAGAAGCCTAGGTTATAGTTAAGCCTGTACCGGCAGGAACTGTGTTCTTGTTTGGAAAGGGTTGGCAGGCCTGGACTAGCCCACGGGGAAATTCAGCCCTGAGTATGTATCAGGAAGGCTGCTGAAACTTGAGAGCTCACTGAAAATGTGACCAGGATTAGATTACCCCCTTTGAGCTGGTCAGGTCAGATTTCCAGATGCAGGGGAGGCCATCTGGGGACAAGGCTTCAAATGGCCTACACCATCGAAGGCAGTGTTCTAGTTTGGAGGGTCACACTGCCCTGCAAAGAAAAAAGGAGTCTGTGTGTGTATCTCTGTGTGTGTGTGTGTGTGTGTGTGTGTGTGTGTGTGTGTGTGTGTGTGAGAATATAGCTCTAAGACACATATATACTGGGGCATACAGCAGCCATGGATGTACATACACAAGACTCTTTGGCAGTTACTGTTTATTCTTCCTTTTGTAGAAGATAAGACCTTACTTTATAAGCACTGATTGAGCAGCTCCTCTGTAGTAAGCACCATGGGAGATGCAAAGGCCCTTCTACTATCAGAACTTACAGCCTACCTAGAGAATTTTGCAAGAATTTTGTATTTCACTCTATTTCTTCCTAATCTATTCCCAGTCTATTTTACTCCAATCCCAATCTATTTCTCTCCACTCAGATAGAGGCCAGGCCACTCCCTTTTAGCCAGTATTTATCAACCAGCTATTATGTGCTCAGTATTGTGCCAGGAGCTGGGCGTATACCAAAGAAGCATAATAAATAGTCAGAGAGCCAAGTTTATCATGTATAAAACCAATAGAAGAAGAATATGAAACAAATTTATGATGGCAATAGTATGTATATAACCCAAGGATCTTTCTTCCCAACCTATTTCTCAAATTAGAGTAATGAGTAGTCCCTTCAAAGAAAAGATTTTTCAGAAACATTCCAGTTTGACTTAAAATTTTTTATTGTGTTACTTGAATATGTATCAACATGAAACTTGGTATAATTTTTTATATTTACAAATAAACACCAAAGCAAATTTGTAAATTACATATCCCCCCCAAAAAAACCTTCTGAAAAATCAATCTTCAAATTAACATCAATTTAATGATATTGTTTTGCTAAAACCAAATTGACAGTGTTGGGTTTAATAATTGAAAGAGTCTCACATCTGCTTCTTTCTTTAATCAGCTTTGTAGTTTGGCTTTTATAAAACTAATTCAAAGAGGGCCTGTTTACATAAGAGAGCTGTTCAAAATTATATTAATGGTTTAAAGCAGGGGTCCTCAAACTTTTTAAACAGGGGCCAGTTCACTGTCCCTCAGATCGTTGGAGGGCCGTTGGAGAGCGCGGCGCACATTCCACACATGCGCACTGTGGACCCAGGATGAGTGGGATGCTAAGTAGGACAGGCAGTGGCGGCAAAAACACCTGGCAGGCCAGATAAATGTCCTCAGTGGGCCGCACGTGGCCTGCGGGCCATAGTTTGAGGACCCCTGATTTAAAGGCTTTGTCTCCTACTTCAGAATAATCAGACCTCATACTTAACCAAAACTTACCTGTATGCAATATTCCCAGATGTCTGTTTCAATGATTTATCATCTGATAACACCATAAAACTGTCTATTTCAGTTGAAGATAAGATTAACATCGTGACACTCTTGAGTCTACTTTAAATTTAATCCCATCATTGCCTGTATTAGAAGAAGAAAATTTCTTTGTTGTAAATTTACTACTATACTTATTTTTAATGAACTGCAAGTTGCAAAATATAGTTGAGCCACACAGCATATCTGCTTATATGTGAAACTGCACTGCATGGGTTCTTTGGTGTGCAGCATGCCTGCACCACCATAGGCCATGAGGTGACAAAGTTCTCCCACCTCGTCTCCTTACTTAAAGCTGCAAAGCTTCTTTTATGTAGCCACTGTGATTTCATTTGGCTTTCACTCGGGGCAAATGGGACTTGGACATAAAAGTGTAAATGCAAGCACAAAAATATTATGACAAATTTTGGTTAAAGAATGGCCAGTGAGAAGATCTTAGATTAACATTTTTAGATTTTCACTGAAGCCAAATCATAAAGTTAAAAATCTACTGTAAAGAAACCACAACCCCCAAAGAATGCTGAGATGCATTCGTAACTCTCCATTCTGACCTGCCATCTCCCCAGTGTCTCCACGCCAGGATATACAGGGCTATACTCACAAGAAATAGGTCAATCGAAAGGATGAGTCCAATATTCATATGAAGGGAAAGGATAAAGCTGAGAACTAAATATTAATAAATAGAAATTTTCTGAGCTCCCAAATGAGTTATCTAACAATTAATACCTCCACATACATGCCCTTCAAGTGTACACCTTAGTTACCCACCTGGCTCCCCTCACTCAGAATTCCCATCTCTCTCCTCAAAGTGTCTCCTTTCTTCAAAATACCCAAGTTGGAATCTCCACTTGCCTTTTGGGGAAACCAAACCCCTGTCCACCAAAAGTGACCTCAATGCCCATCTCCCTTCTCCTCACTAGTTCCTTTCCCAACTCTAAATTACTTAGTCTGAAAGGAGAGTCCTGGGAATTCTAGATAATCACTCATGGCCATTGCTATGAAGTGAATGTTTGTATTCCCCCCAAAACTCGTTGGCCATTGCTATGAAGTGAATGTTTGTATTCTCTCCAAATCCATGTTGAAACTGAATCCCCAATGCAACAGTATTAAAAAGTGGGGCCTTTAGAAGGTGATTAAGCCACAAGGGCTCTGCTTCATTAATGGATTAGAGCTTCATAAAGGGGCTTGAGGAGACGAGTTAGCCCCTTCTATCCTTTCCGCCATACAAGAACACAGCATTGTTCCTTCCAGAGGATGCTGCAACAAGACACCATCTAGGAAGCAGAGACCAGACCCCCATCATAGACTGAACCTGCCAACACCTTCATCTTGGACTTCCCAGCATCCAGAACTGTGAGAAATAAATTTCTGTCATTTATAAATCACCCAGTCTTGGACATTTTATTATAGCAGCACAAACAGACTAAGACAAGCATTAATACACCTAACACCACAGAGCAGTCCAGTGGGAACAGCTTTGGCTTCCTACTTTCCCAGTGGATCCAGAAGGGGTCTCCTAGGTCAGATTGCCTTTGTGATCTCTCACCTGAATGGGTTATGGGCACAACTGTCCTTAACTGTTTGTGGACCTGTTAGAATAGGCCCATTCAAATACACACACACACACACACACACGCACACACACATGCACATACACACACACACACACACACACACATGCACACACACATGCACCCATACATTAATTCTCAGAGACGGTAGCTTCTACTAGAAAAGAAATATTTCCAAACTTGCATAATTTCCAAGGTGCCATCTCCATCCATGAGGGTAAAAATCACATTATTATACAGAATAGTGTTTATTTCCTTTTGTTATTCCCTCCAAGCCTTCAGAATGAGAAAAACATCACACGTGCTTGAATAAGTCCTTCCTGAGGAACAAGAGAAGCTTTGAATTGCCCATTCTTCTGATGACTCATCAAAATACACCACCAGTGGCTTTCACCCACTGGAGAATGACCTTCGAGGAGAGGGGAGGCAGTGAGACTCACTTCCAGTTACAAGTATTATAAGTCCTCAAAACAGGCAAACATCAACATCTGGAGTTACCAAGGCTTCATAGCCAAGGTGAGGGCTGAGTTGAAACTTGAAGGGTGTGTAGGCTCTGCACAGGTGTGGTGCAGGTGTGGGGTGGGGCACTTGTGGAGGGACAGAGTGTGAGGGACCTGTATAGGGAAATGCACAGAGCCTGGCAGGGACCCAGGTGAACAAAAACACTAGAGCCAGAGGAAAACAGATAACTAGGATGGGATAGATCACAAGGCTGCCAAAAATATCAGACTGAGTTTGGGCTCAGCCCAAAAGACCAGGAGGAACCACTATATATCCTTGAGTAGAGAAGAGAAAGTTTAGAAGTGAATTAGGATTTGGGGCAAATACATTTGGCAGTGTAGGCAGGACAAATTGGACTGGAAACAAGTTAAGGAATTCTATATTATCATATTCCTACAGTACTCCAAGTGACAAAGCCTTGATTATTAAACTGTAGTTCCAGCTGGGCAGGTGTTGTGTCACACATGATCAGTCCAAAGTCTACAAGTGTGTCTCTCATGCTCACTCCTTTAACTAAGTAAACTAGATAAAGTGTAGTTACCAGGAGGAGTCAATCCTAGAGCCCTGGTGAGGATTACAAACATCCTTCCTCATATCCAGACAGATCCCACTCCCACACACACAAGTGACTCAAAGAGCCGTGAACTTCTATACTCTTTTTTATAAAAAATGGGTCATCAGAATCTCCTAGCACTTCCCCAGTCCATTCCCACTAGCCTAGAGAGAGTTCAGGAAAGAGCTTAATCAGTCCCAGAATCTCAGAGGTGAGAATACCTTTAGTGGTACTCACACTCTATGCCAGTATTAGTTATTTACTGCTGCAATGTTGTTTCATAACAAGCAACCACAAAATCTCAGTGGAGCACAACAATAAATGTTGGGTTTTGCTCACGAGTCAAAGTCTTGGTGGGGCCATCCTACTGATCTGAGCAGACTCACTCATGCATCTGGTAGATCAGCTAAGGACCCGCTGGTCTCAGATGACCTCAGCCAGGGCAGCTCAGCTCTACTCCATGTGGTCTCTCATGCTCCAGGAGGCTAGTCCAGGCTTGCTCTCATAAGGTGGCAGGAGCTGATGACAAAGAGAGAAGCAAGCAAGTCCTTTGGCAAGTTTGCATCCAGTTTTCTCCTGTCTCATTGATCACAGCAAGCCCCGTGTCCCACGGTCAGAGTGGGCAGGGACTGCAAAGTCACAGAGCAAAGGCCACCGATGCCATCGATTTGTCCCAAAGAGAAAAGGCTAGAGGATATTGACATTGCAAAAACAGATCAGAACCTGGGAATGAGGAAGGGAATCTCCATGGTAGAATTGGGAAGGGGATGAGAGAATTGGTCACTAGAGATGTGAGTCTTTGGTTGTAGAAAAACTGGTGAGTCACAGACTGACCTCACGGCTTATTCTGGCATTTTCCACACCTGTGAATGGTGAGAGCTTGGGCAACGGGTGGCTGAAAGCCTATTTTTCTCTCCACTGCAGGTGATCACTAATCCTTCTGTTCTCCCTAACAACTGATTTTTTTTTCCCTTCAGCATTCAACTATGATCTGCTAACCTTCAGTAAATTCTCACTTGACTTCCTATGCCTCTCTAGCTACTGAAAAATTCTTAAAACGTAAGGAAGAGAAGGAATATATGGGAAGCGAGAAATAGTGATGTTCTTCCCACGTTGTTCCCTTCAAGCTAGCATAGGAAGACTTAGCCTGGGAGCCGGACTTGGTCACGGCCAGCTGGGGTGAGGAAAGGAAGGGTCTGGACCCACCTGTGTCATTAGCAAAGTCTGCAAAGGCAAGAATATGAGGCTGTTGTGTCTCTTGTTACTCTTGACTCTGAGGTGTGGGATAATCCAACACGCACAGGATGTCTGTAGCACCCTCAAAACTTAAAAAAGAGATGGAAGGGCTATTTCATGAAATCCCCCAGAGTCCTCTTCCCAGAACAGTTCCTACTATAAGGAGGATGCTGAGAGCAGAATTGTGAAATTTCAGAAGAGCTCTTTGTTTTTCAGTGAAACAGAGAAACAACCGAGTCGAGTTGATCTGGAGCAAAGGGGGAGTAGAACAGCACAAGAAATGCCCAGAAGCCAGGGGCAATCGGCATAAGGGGAAGGTGGGAATGGCCTCCAGGGAGAACGCAGCAAGCAATACTGGAGATGATGGCGGGGGGACCACAAGCCAGGCCAGTGGGGCACGTGGCCCCCAGGAGCACCACTCCAGCCTGGGTCAGAGGGTGAGAGCTGGCATCTGTGGCCAAAATGGGTCACGATTTGGGCGGGGACATTCAGATACCGTAGACTGCCAAAGAGAATGGGAATTCCAAGGCCTGCCGGGGCCAGAAGATGACAGCACACCTAAAGTGGATTTGTCACTACATAAATGTATGCCACGCTAGAAGAGAGACAAGGAACCTTGTCTGTGATTTACCTCATCTTAGCAGCGTTTGTTCCTACAATCTGTGAAATTTGCAGTAGGATTGCATCGTGGATATGAATCAGTGACGTGTAGGAGAACGACCCATGGTGGGGGGGGGGCGGGGTGCAGACCATGAATTCAGAAGCAGGGTCTACAGAGGAATCTGGACACCCCCACTTTGCCTTCCATTTGGAGATGGAGGAGCCCTTTGGTCACTTCTCAGAGCAAAGGGATCCATTCCGAATTCCTGTCCTTCATCCATGAACAGAGACTCACCAGCAACAGAATTTGGTCTTTTCTACTCCCCATCCCTACCCAGGCAGGTATATAATACATGCTGACTCATATGCCCACATATATACATTTATGTGGAAGCAGGCCTATTATTTTAACCTTAATATTGCCCCATTCAAACCAGTTGCCCTAATGCAATAGATTACAGCATGCAAAGACCCGTCCAAGCCTCCCTGCTGCTGCTGCAGCGGTTAGCGTTTTCCCAGCTGTCTTCTTCTCCTAAGAAGAGAGCGCCATCTTGTGGAGAAAAGCTGAGTTCTGACTATGCCACCTCATTTTTTTGTTTTGGTTCACCAGGTTTCCACTAAGCCAGTGTGGGTGCCCTTGTGTTGACTTTCTAGAGTTTACTGAGACTTTGCATTCTAAGAAACATTAAGATGTCCCCATGAGGGGTGGCTCGAGGTCAGGAGTTCGAGACCAGCCTGAGCAAGAGCGAGACCCTGTCTCTACTAAAAAAAAAATGATCTGCACCCCCTCCCCCCCATGGGTCTTCTCCTACATGCACTGATTCATATCCACGATGCAGTCCTACTGCAAATTTCACAGATTGTAGGAACAAACGCTGCTAAGATGAGGTAAGTCACAGACAAGGTTCCTTGTCCCTCCTCCAGCGTGGCATACATTTATCAGTGACAAATCCCACTTTAGGTGTGCTGTCATCTTCTGGCCCCGGCAGGCCTTGGAATTCCCATTCTCTTTGGCAGTCCATCGGTATCTGAATGCCCAGCCCAAATCGTGACCCATTTTGGCCACGATGCCAGCTCTCACCTCTGACCCAGGCTGGAGTGGTGCTCCTGGGGGCCACGTGCCCACTGGCCTGGCTGTGGTCCCCCCACCATCATCTCCAGTATTGCTTGCTGCGTTCTCCTCTGGAGGCCATTCCCACCTTCCCCTTATGCCGATTGCCCCTGGCTTCTGGGCATTTCTTGTGCTGTTCTACTCCCCCTTTGCTCCAGATCAACTCGACTCGGTTGTTTCTCTGTTTCACTGAAAAACAAAGAAGCTCTTCTGAAATTTACAACTTGCTCTCAGCATCCTCCTCTTATAGTAGGAACTGTTCTGGAAGAGGACTCTGGGGGATTTCATGAAATAGCCCTTCCATCTCTTTTTTAAGTTTTGGAGGTGCTACAGACACCTGTGCAGTGTTGGATTATCCCACACCTCAGAGTCAAGAGTAACAGAGACACAACAGCCTCATATTCTTGCCTTTGCAGACTTTGCTAATGACACAGGTGGGTCCAGACCTTCCTTTCCTCACCCCAGCTGGCCGTGACCAAGTCCGGCTCCCAGGCTAAGTCTTCCTATGCTAGCTTGAAGGGAACAACGTGGGAAGAACATCACTATTTCTCGCTTCCCATATATTCCTTCTCTTCCTTACGTTTTAAGAATTTTTTCAGTAGCTAGAGAGGCATAGGAAGTCAAGTGAGAATTTACTGAAGGTTAGCAGATCATAGTTGAATGCTGAAGGAAAAAAATCAGTTGTTAGGGAGAACAGAAGGATTAGTGATCACTGCAGTGGAGAGAAAAATAGGCTTCAGCCACCTCGTGCCCAAGCTTCCA